TCTGTCAAAACGGCGCGGCGCACCAACATTGGAAGACGACGCACGGTGGGAATAAACATTGCGTAGAAATGCGCGAGGAGGAGTGTCCTCGGTGCGCACATGATTCACACAACACCCTCTGACGTTGCAGCCAGGCAGCCACCTCACCATGCTGACGGACGGTGGTGTCGATCTGTCTGCCTGCCCCCCGCAACTTGTCTGCGCAATTAAATAGTAATAAACTTGAGTTGTCGTCGGTGCGAATGTCGTCAGCCGCACAGAAACGCAGTAGTGACAGCCGCAAAATGAAGATGGACGTCTGTAGGGGCGTTATCGTTGTCGTGGCCACAGCTACCGCTACCGCTGCCCCACCACCAATGCCATTGCTCCGATCACGCGCGATCGTCGATCGCAAGCAGTCACATTTACATTCCAAGCAACGCGTCCAAAAGCCAAGCAGCAGGCAAGCTCCAACAGAGCAAAAGACGGACTTTGGAACAACCAGCCGCCCAGCTCTGCATTGTATGGGCCGGTGTTGAGGTGCTGTAGTTTGGTGTGATGGGGTGTGGTGTGGTGCGGTGGTAGAATCCTCTTGCCTCTGATGCGCGCATGCGCAGAAATAAGTGCATATGCATATTCGCACTGCCCGCAGCAACATATGTATGTATGTATGAGCAAACAGAGCCAGAGTAATCAAGTAGGAGACGTGCGGGCATTGGGTAAGCTACTGAATGTCTGTCGCTGGCTCACTAATTCTCATTCCGATTCTGCGGTTGCGTCGCACTCCCCGCAACCATTTCGGTTGTGCCTGGAATTCTTAAGCAATTTTTGTATGCTGTGCAATTTTTATGAATGAATTGTGAGCAGCACAACAACGACCGTGACGCTGATAGACGAAGAACGTTCAACGATGTACGACAAAGACGGACGTGGTAGCTCCGCATGGCCGTCGCTTTGCCTTCTTTGCAATTTTTTCATACAAGTGTATAGTCAACGCCGTCTTATTTTCGTTTGAGTTCATTTTCCTCGATGTTAAATCGTATACACCGATCGACCGTGTCTCCGCCACCCGTCCGAGCGACCGACCGATCCACCGACTAAACATTCCAATCTGCTTGTCGTTAGGCACTTTCATTGAAGCAATGCGCCTGCAACGCCGCCGCGCGACATGTGCTTACTTACAACAACTTAGTTTCCAAGCATGTATACATACAAATGTATGAATGTGTGTAGTTTGTGCATGTGTACTTCATAATCTTCATTTATTTCATTAAGCACTGGTGCGGCTCAGCGCCTCACTAACTCTCCGCAAGTCAGCCACATCCTAGCCAAACACGCATCCATCGCACGCTGTTGGGCTGGCTGGCTGACTGGCTGGCACCGGAATCGGCTAGGGCTGCGGCGTTCGCGAATCAACATGTGTTTTCTGCCATCCGCCTTCGCTGGCCCCCCCAGATTTTTTTCTTGTCCTTCTTTCCTCCCATCACTCCTGCCAAATGCCTCGCACACTTCAGCACTGCCATCATTGGATGGCGCTTTTACTGGCGGCTTGTCTCGTTCGTTACTTTCTCAAGCCCTCGACAACAGTGGATGTGGAGCTGGCGGCATCGTAGGCGATTTGCTGGTTGTAAAATAAATTCTCATGTCATTCGAGTGTTCATACGACTTGTTAGCTGCTGTCCGTCTTTCTGCTTGGCTTTTGATTGTTGCGTGTTGCAGGATGTTGAGTTAAACAATTCGCACCCCCTAAAGAAAATGCACTCAACACTGTGGCGGCGAGGGACACACAGTCAAGCTCAGACAGAGTCGTAAACAAAGGAATATGCTAAGCGAAATTTCGCGAAAATGTTCAAAAAAAAGTCCCATAGCGCACAATCTCATAGAATATAACTAATGAGCGGAAGGAAAGACAGACACACAGTCGTACTACAAAAGGGAGCGGCGACCCCCAACTCACGACCGCCGCAGACGTGATGATGTGAGGTAAGTGTCGAATATTGTATTCATAAGCGAAGGTCAGTAGAACAAGTCACAAACTTATCATAGACTATGAAATCAGGTCATTCGCATTGGGGTGACCAGATTCTAGGATTAATTCTTAGCTCAGTGAGTCGAGAAAGACCTACCAAAACAGTTCATCAAAGCTGGCATTCACAGACATAGATGAAAAGATCGAAGTCTATTCCACTGCTTTAAGTGACCTAGAACTCTCATTTTGGCTGTTGGTATTACCAACAGGCTAGGGTGACCTAAAATACTTAGCAAGCAGTTACTGTGCTGGCATGTCAACAGCCATCTCATTGATCTGGTCTTTGAAATCAGCCTAACGTATGCTATTCCATGAACCATAAGAACTATAGACAGGCCTTAAACTACATTGATCGATAGTCAAGCAGCACCTCGCACCGTGAATGTCGTCATCAGAGACGAAGAGCTCGAGTTGCCTTATGGGACTCACTTTAATTTGTCACAGCTGCATATGGTAACAGGGTAAGAAGTTTACATCTTCAGAATTAACCTCGAAATACCTAACCCATATCCAATAGATATGAAGAAGATTTTTCGGACGTCATTAAGCACCCCATCACATGGCCACGCAAGCCAACTCAGGGTCCTATAGGTAGATGAGATTAAGAAAAGCACTTAGTGGATTCACAGTGATTAGTAAGCTGCTACAACTGTTACTAGGACTAAATGTTTGTCGAATACAAAACGCGGACTGGCCATGCTCAACGTCGCTTTAGCTGTATTAGTTCTTCGGGTATCGTAAATTTAGTCGTAATATAGGCAACTTCTTTTCGTGCTTCCAAAATTTAACACACTATGGAGTTTCCAATGTCTGAAGTCAAATTCTTAAAGCCCAATCAGTTGGCTCGGACACAGGAGCCTTAAGCAAAGTTCCAGAATTCTTAGCACGCGATTATTGGCACAAACATCAGGAACTCTCATTTTCGGTCAAGTATACATCAGAACAACAGGCTTTCGCCGTCGGTTTTGAACAACACGGCGGGGATAACGTCAGCTATGCGGATTTTGTTGTCTTTAAGCCGCATTAATGCTGTTCTCACCTCCTTTCGGCGACTGGACGGACGTGAGCGCAATCCATGTCCACTGGTTTGGGTACTTCTTCAGAAGTTGTCCCTCCTTATTTACAGTGTACTCTGGGCGTGTGACCAGATTTCCATCTACGTCTCTGCAAAAACTAACCCCAGTCCTGAAACATTTTGATAGCTTATCGCAAGGATTAGATCCAACTACTGCTGGTGACGCAAAGCCTATTGCAAAAACAAATAAAGTTAAAGCAACTTGTATGTAGCATGAAACTCGAGCTGCCTATGTCAACCGTTTTTTTCTTCAGCGCAAATGATAGCTGAGAAAATTTTTAAACGAAGCAGTTAAATGTAGATTATCTCAAACAATTAACTGATAATCTCATAATACACCGGAGGTGTTGTGTTAAGTCAATCCAGCGGATGGAAAAATTACACCGACATATTGGCGCGATGCGGAAAAACAAACAAAAACTGGTTGAGTGGGAAATAACAAAAACAAAACTTCATAAATTTCCACGCCTTTAGGGGCTGACTTGATGAGATGAATGGTCGCACAATTGCACTGTGTCCATTTTTTTTTTTCTTCTTTCGACAGCTTTTGCTAGATCTACTGCTGACTACAATGCTGAACGGCTAGTGAGAGTTTAGAAGAGCATGCGTGTGTATAATTTCACAAAGAAAGTGAAAACGCATTTGTTTAGTTTAGTTTACACGGCCGCCCAACCGCCCAGCGTTAACACACAACGCGTATTTTGTTGCATGCAACGCCAAAGAAAAGAAAATTTGCTGCTGTGGCAGTGTCACCTCTGTGTGAGAGAGAGTATGGTATTAGTCAGCGGGACAAAAAGACTTTACCACCAGTGCAACATACGAGAATGCTAGTTAGAGATGCAAAGAAAGTCGTTAAAAAGAAAAAGGCAGCAATTATGTGCGCAAGTGCGTGGCAAGTGCGCGTACATACATGCAGCGGTAATAAAATGATTAACTAGAAGAAATGTTCCCGCAATAATAAAAATTATTGTGTTTTTTTTTTTTATTAATGTTGTCGTACGTGTTGCAGCAGCATTGTTATGCGCTGAGAGCAATTAACCCGTTCAGTGCGCAGTGACACAATATGCAGCAGCTGCCTTGCAGTGAGAGTAAAATTCATAAGAATTCGTGTGAAAGACTGACTGCCTGGGGAATTAATGAAAAAGAAAGAAAGAAAAAAAAACCGGAAGTCGTTTGGTGTGAAGTTCTAGACACAACATTTATTTATGTAAGTAAAGAAAGGAAAAAACAGTCAGTAAAGTGCAACTGACGTAAGGCCAGTCAAAAACTAGCGTAGGAAGTTGGATGCTGTTACTGTTGTCGCGATCAGAGGAGAGAGTTCGTGGAATTGAAGTTCTTTCTTGTGCTTCCGAAAGTTGTTATCAAGATGTATAAATAATACGAGTTCACGCACTTTAAGGTGTAGGTACATAATAAATCAAACAAAAAGGTTTCAAAGATAAAGTACGAGATTTGCCAAATAGACAATTATGGTGACAGATCTTCATAAATGTGTAAGCAATATTTAATTATAAGGGTCGAAACATTCAGTTATATGTAAGTAGATACAAATTTAGTAAATAAATGTGTAAATTTAAAAAATAATTAAATTAAAAACCGAGAATATGTACAGAAATAAAAATTGGAGTACGAATGCTAATACATATTTACTGATATGTATGTATATGCATACGAATACGAGTAATAATACGAAAACGAACTTGAAAGCCATTTCGAATACGAAAACGCGAATACATATAAAAATGCGGGCAAATAAAAGGAATTAATACGAATACGAAGGCAAATAGGAATACGAATTCGAGTGCGAGTGCGAGTGCGAATACAAGTGGCATTTAAACCGAATAGGAAAAAAATGCATACTAGTACTGATAAAAATATGCATACAAATACTAATACGAATATTTATACAAATACTAGTACGAATGTGAATACGAATACTAGTACGAATACGAATACGAATACTAGTACGAATGTGAATAGGAATACTAGTACGAATGCGAATACGAATACTAGTACGAATGTGAATACGAATACTGGTACCAATGTGAATACGAATACTAGTACGAATGTGAATACGAATACTAGTACGAATGTGAATACGAATACTAGTACGAATGTGAATACGAATACTAGTACGAATGTGAATACGAATACTAGTACGAATGTGAATACGAATACTAGTACGAATGTGAATACGAATACTAGTACGAATGTGAATACGAATACTAGTACGAATGTGAATACGAATACTAGTACGAATGTGAATACGAATACTAGTACGAATGTGAATACGAATACTAGTACGAATGTGAATACGAATACTAGTACGAATGTGAATACGAATACTAGTACGAATGTGAATACGAATACTAGTACGAATGTGAATACGAATACTAGTACGAATGTGAATACGAATACTAGTACGAATGTGAATACGAATACTAGTACGAATGTGAATACGAATACTAGTACGAATGTGAATACGAATACTAGTACGAATGTGAATACGAATACTAGTACGAATGTGAATACGAATACTAGTACGAATGTGAATACGAATACTAGTACGAATGTGAATACGAATACTAGTACGAATGTGAATACGAATACTAGTACGAATGTGAATACGAATACTAGTACGAATGTGAATACGAATACTAGTACGAATGTGAATACGAATACTAGTACGAATGTGAATACGAATACTAGCACGAATGTGAAAAGGAATACTACGACCAATGTGAATACAAATAATAGTACGAATGTGAATGCGAATTTTAGTACTGATGTGAATACGAATACTAGTACAAATATGAATAGATAAAAATTATTTAGCTGAGAGAGAGCGCGGGACCAGGTTAGCCTTTTTGAGGCCAAATTTAGCAATTAGTTTTATGCCATACCCCTAGAGTTTTAGGTAACTTTTTTTAGACTTTTTTGTGCATCACATATCGCAGCATTTAAACCAGTACTACTCCTTATTTATTGTAGGCTCTTATGCAATGAACTGACATTTATTCAAGGGCAGAGCCGCTGTTTAGCTTACCATTGGATCCACTTCGGTTTAGTATAAAATGAACTAGTCACATTCCCGGAAGGGTATTACTAGTTTACCGACCTACACTAAAAGTAGCATGAATATGTCGAGCTATACATACATATGTACATATGCACATATTTAATTTAAAGTACATATTGGATATTAAAATTGCACACAGACCATTGCCAATAAATTTGTTATACATCCCCCCTAGCCGCCACACATCAGCGCCACCCATCAACGGATAGGGCGGCATGCGCAACAAGTGCCCCCCAGACAGCGAGCAGGCAACCAAAGAGCTAGTTAACTACCACGCAGGCATACAAACATACAGATGCAGTTTTTGCATACATACATATGTACATAAATTTGCAATGAGTGAGAAGGTATTTATATATGCACATAGCCAGTCTGCGCGGCTGAATCGTTTTGAATGGTATTTATGAGATCGGGGCCACAGCATCCAAATGAAGTGAATACAAGCGACAGGCAGGCAGATCTACCGCGGGTCCAATGTCTATTCCCACACAGATTCGCAACCACACACACACACACGCATACACTACTTGGTTAGTCCTCTCTATTGTGCAAAAATTCATTCATGAAATTTCACGCATCTACATACATTCATACATACATATGGAATAGGTGTATACAAAGGCAAAATGAAGTCACGATAACGACGCGCCAGTGGATGCCACAAATGCACAACTTATAAATATCTACATATGTATGTACACTTATGGTCAAAATAATAGGGTCATTATTCAAAATAATATTGTTTGCAACTTATTTTTTCTAATCATTTTCTTATAAAATTTAGTTCAATCCATAACAGAAACCTACTGAATGGCCCTTATGAATAAAAACTAGGCAATTGCTTTTTCTTTTTCTTAAAATTTCCGATCTTGTACTCGATTTCTTCAAATAAATTTGAGTAAAAGGTCTGAAATTTTAAGAAAAAGCAATTGCTAAGGTTTTGTTCATAGTGCCGAATTTCCACTAGGCATTGAAATGACAAAAAATGTATGCCAATTAAAAAAAATGCCATGTGGAAATGAACTTAATGAATATTCTTTAATGTAATGACACGATTATTTTTTAATGCCCGACTTTGTCATTTGTCATTTTTGGCTTTTAATGCCTAGTGGAAATCCAGCATAAGGCACAGTAAATAAAATTTTCAAAGCTTACACAAAATTCGTAAAAATTTTGTCAATTTCAAAAAATGTCCATTAAAATTAAAAATTTTTTTTTTTACGCTAAAAGTTACCGTTGATTTTTAAGATTTTTTTTTGTCAAGAATATTGCGTATACATACATATAAAAAAATTTGTATGCGTTATATGGAAGAAAACGCGCAACACCCTCGGAAAAAAATTCTAAAAAAGCAAGCTGCTTGAAACTAAAATTTAATGGGCTACAAAGCTGCATCATCAAAAATTTTCTAAAAATTCTGAATAAAAAATTGTAAATTTTTGTGAAGTCGTAAGCTTTGAAACTTTTATTTATCTGGTTCCTATTATAGAGCGAACTATATTTTAAATTAAAGTTATTAAAAATAAATATGTAAATAAAAATAAGTTGTATTTTGTTTGTTGGTCCTATTCTCTTGACAATAAAGTTGGAAACAACGTATAAAAATTTCCACACAAATGAAATACAACGACGAGAAACATACACAAACAACAATTGAAAAAAGGACCATAACTATAAAAGTTGCAGCAGCGGCGGGTATGTCCAAGTATTAGCATCCACGGGCTTACATGTGTGTAAAAAGGTATATATTTCCTTTAGTGCTAAAATGGACCCACACTTGTTGTACTCTTATATACATATGTAGGGTATGATTACCGTCAGTAAATTTCGAGGTTCGCCATACACTCAAATGAGATTCCTTTTGCCTTCGCACTGTTTTTTGCTATCTTTTTGTTTTAGTTTCTGCTTTCAGTTTGTTGCTTTGATTTTTATTACATTTCATTTCAGATGAAATGTTTGCAGATAAAAGCCTAACTGGCAAAAAGGGCCACCACCGACACTGAGAAGCATGCATATGGGTTTATGTACCCAGTAGGAAAAACTGACGCACTGGACAACATCCGACTTAAATTGGTTTCAACAAGCCGGCAGTTATTTCTTGCAGGTGTAGAAGGTTAGGCCTCCGAACAAGCCCGTAGTACAGCAAAAAACGTTTCAAATATAGATAGACAGACATATGGAAAGGCACATATCTTCGTCATTTTTGGGAAGTTTAGTTATATATTCTCCTTATCAAGCAAAAACGTAAATTTTGAATACCTTCTCTATATAAACATGCGATATGGTGTCAATGGAAGGTAATCGTGGATACGATTATTACTTTCCGTGGCACAGAACGTTATCTCAATTCAGAAAATTTCAAAGGCGAAAGAAATATTAAGCCTGGGAAAGCTAAGGCTCACTGGCTTTCTGGAGTCATGAGTCATGACTTGATGATAACGAAAGTAGTGAAACCCGCGAAAATTATGAGTCCAACGGAGCCTATATTGTCTTTTGTGGAGGTTTTAAGAGAGCCGATCTTTATAAATTAGATACTTTTGCCATTTAGACAAGTTGGCTTTTTCCCGAAGAGACGGACCGGACCGTACGTTTTGCCGACTGCTCGAAAATCCCAAATCATACATACATACTTATATCTACAGTATGCCAAATTTAATTGGTCATGCAAAAATACCAACTATTTTTTATTATCTATGCAAAGAACCAAAGGGCCAAGGCTGGCTCAATTGAAGAAGTCTAGTAATAGACGATCTTCTCGAGGTGCTCTCGGAAAAAGGAATCCAAACCCTTCCGGGTATGAAAAATATGAGGATTGATCAAGGATATATCCAGAGTCACAAAACCACTGCGATGCAGGATAGATATATATATTTAGTTACATCGTTGGAGTACAAGCTAAGGCAAGATATCGGGCATTAGCTTAGGCCTCAAAAACTATTCTGGCGTCAAAATGTTCTCTCCTTAATTTCACTCGAGAGGGTTTCGAAGAGGAAAGTTTATATCATCCAGGAACATATTTAGATCCCTAGCTCCCGGTAGAGCAAGGAGAGGATGTGCCACGTTAATGTCACAGTAGACTGAAGTGTCACTTGCATAAATTAGTTATATGGTAAAACGATATCTGCGGTTTATATGATGCTGCTGTAGAGACACCACTACATCTTCTAGGCGAATGTGATGCCATTTGAAGGATACGACAAAGAAACATTTGCAGTGCATACCTTATATTTACATACGCATTAATATCTTCTTCCATAATCTATAAAAAGACGTTACAAGAAACAAGNCGTATGTGCATTTGGAAATGTATGCGCTTGAATATAATTGACCAGAGGATCTGCTTTAAAGCGTCTGCGCGACGTTATTTCGCAGAATCGTCTGAACCGACACGATATGTGAGATGCTGTTGCCCAAAGCACACAAAGCAGCGTTCGTTCGCCCCCACCACCAACACGACCAGGCAACAGCACACCCGCTCCTCTTCTTCCTCTCTCGGCCACAACAAAAGGGAACACACACCTCAACACAAATACATAAGACTTTGTGCTGGACCATAGTCGTCGATGCGGCATTCGTCGCCTCCACACGGTAGACACACATACACATGTATCAGCCATGCAAACTTTGGAGGACAAATTCATGGAAGCCCCAAACAAATGAGCCAAAACTCAATCAGTGGTCTGCAGCAGCGCCAATCGAGTTTCTTTACTCATTCATACAAGCAAATGTCTAAAACTCAAATGAGCGGTTATATGTAGTGTTGCCTTTGGCATTCTCAGCTGACTTTGGACCTCACAAATACCACATACTCATGTACATATATTCTGCTGTTCGTTAGAATCATTTTGGCGGTAGGCGACGATGGTGGCATTGGTGACCACCACTTAGTTCTTATACGCGTAGGTTGTCGCGACGTTGCATTTTCAATTTTAAAACAAAATAAATTCGCTGGTGGCAATGTAGTAGGCCGTCTCATGCACCACCACTCCTCGCAGATTAATGCTTAGCCATGCGGATGGTGGTGGTGATAGCCGTGGTGGCGTTATGAAGTTCAATGGGCATGCAGTCACATAACTAGGCAACGCTGATGGGTTGCAACCCACGCAGCGTTTGCAATTTTTACTGTGGAGCTGCATAACTTAAAAGAAACTCAAAGTGAAGGTAACTTAGAAGAAACAAATACCAAAGATATAACTGAGATCTTAAGAATATTTTATTTGGCAATCGACATATCGGTAAGGAAAGTAATTGTCAATCGTCCGTTGATCTTTTGATGGTCAATTGAGTATTTTAGTTTAGTTTTTGGGATAAAAAAATGCACTAGATTATTAGCCACACAATGTTGACGGGCTCTACATCTGGAATAACCCCACTCAGTACAGGTAGGTTACCACTAACGAGCTGATGGATGTCCTCGAAAAAAACAAGGCTAATTAATATAATCAAAATAATTTTTTCCATTCAGCGTACTAATATTTAACTCAGTCGTGCTTCGTTTTCACGTTACCAATACCCGCTACCATACCCTCGCTAGGGCAGGCATCTTGTCGTTGGTGCACGAAGACGTATTTGAATCTCCAATCAGTCCTTTTCTGGACTGGCGCAACGCAGCCGCCCTTGTAACTTCCTGGTTAGGGCTGTGGGCGAACAACGAACACAAACTGCCACCCGCTAATGCACGGTGTTATGCGACACTATGCTCATTGGACGGTTTGCAGCCAGGAGGATATAAACCGGCTGTATTG